CCCCAAAACCCCAAAACCCCTTGCTTAAAAATTCAGGGAAAAAAATAAATCAGAGTAATTTGGATTTAATTTCGTCATTATTTGATTATTTTAATATTTAATATTATTTGCTTTATTACTCTAGAATTAAGTTTTAAAAATTTCATATTCAATGAATAGATAATAGTAAGCCAAAAAAAGAATGTAATTGCAAAAATGTCTCTGAGCATCATTTATTTACAAAAAAATTACTAGAGATAAAGATGAAGCTTTAGAATATATTCTTGAAAGTTCAAAAAAATAAAACTAAAAATAAACTCACAGAAAAATTAATGAAGTAATGAAAAAATTTGAGATTTGGTAAGATTGAGACAGAAAGGGATAAAGGTAATTGATGCCATAAAAATAAAAACATTAAATTGGATATTAAGGTTCATTAAAAGACGATTATATTTAGATTAGCACTTCTTCTTAATCTTCTTAATCTGATGAATTTTGGAAATCATCAAGTCAAGAAGGTTTAAATAATGAGTTAAAAGAGGAAAAAATGGTAAAGGAGAAAAAAGAGGAAAAAGAAGAGGATGAAAGTGATGATGAAGAAGAAAATTCAGCATAAAGCATGAATTCTGAAGATGAAAATATTCTGTAGAAATTAGAAAGATTCAGTCAAAATGAATCATAAAAATATTAAGATTTTGTCAGTGAAATAAATCTACCATTCCATATATAGAATAATTAGGATTAATCATCTAATAAGAAATTCTAACAATAAGAAAATTTTGATATTCAAAGCATCGGAAGTTATTTCAAGGAGCCACAGGAATAAAATGTAATATAAAGCAATTTAGAAAATGAAGAGAACACTAAGTATAGCACAATTAATCTAGAAAAATTAATAGATTAGATTCATGAAAACTAATTGAATTAAGCATTAAATAGATAAAATTAAAATAAACATTAATTATAAAATGAGGAGTAAGAGTCAGTTTAGTAGGTTTAAGCAATTTTACAAGGAGAAGAGTAAAAATTGTTTGATCAAATCTAGCATCAAAAGTTAGCTTATATAGAAAAACGAAAGGAACTTAAATTGGTAAAGGAGGAATACTAGAATTAGATGAATTAGTACTTAGAGTTCATATCATAAAATCAACTTTGATTTGGAGATAAGTAATTTCTTAAATAATAAATTGCTATGCTCGATGCACTGAAATATAATTAATTGATTAAAAGCAAAGTTATTTATAGATAATCAAATTTTAATAAATTAATGTTCTAATATAATAATTTTAAAAATTATTTGAGAATTTATGACATGATAAAAATGTTAAAATATTAAATATTAAGCAAGCTAAGTCTCTCCCTTATTAATTTACATAAAACTAAGAATAATGGTAATTCATTAGAGCTTTCTCAAGAAAAATATAATTTTAAAGCTCTTTCTTATCTTATGAATTTTTAAAAACTTTATATGCATGTTATTACTTAAGAACTTGCAGATTATTAGGAACTGAAAAATTATGATATTATCTCATTTTTCAATCATTATGTACTTAATATAATAAATCAGTATATTATCATCTTATAATTTTCTTGAATAAATTTATTTTCATAATCAGTTTTAAAAAAGCCTCAATTAAAAGTTTTCTATGAAATTTAGATAACCAATTATATAAATATTCAAAAATTTTATTATAAATTATTAGCGTGTTATATATATTAATATATTAATATATATCCACACAGAAAATTGCTTTATTGATTAGCAATGAAATATCCTATAAACGAGCTATTCAGATAGACTTCATTTATTTACAAAAATTACTCTAAAAATATTCATGATGCAATTGAATTGGTTTTTCATCAGAAGGATTGGGCATAGAAAAAAATTAATGATACAATTAAAAATATTTAAAATTGGTTTACCGCTAGAAATAAGCACAAAAAGCAAAAGGTAATTTGTAAAAAAGATAAAAATCAAGCAATAGTTCGCTATAAAGCTTTAATAAAGAGCACGGGTTTTAAAGAGCAGAGAAGATAAAAAAAATAAAAAAAAGCTTAGTTAGAAGTTAGACTTAACAATAAATAATAAGATGCTATTATGGAGAGAGAATTCGATGAAACGTTAAAGAGCCAGAAATCAGTTTAAAAACCCATTTCTCCTACTTTTGTTAAAGTCAGAGAATAAAAATCCATACCAGATTCTGTATATAACGAAAGTAACTCAGTTTCCTCTGCAGGATACATCTAGCATCCTCCTACCTATTAATAGCCAAGACTATATTACCAGTCTCCATAGCTTTCTCCTAAATAGTTTTAAGGACAAAATTTTGAAATTTTAGATAAAAGAAAAAAAGGAATTCTAGATGACAAGGAGTTGATAAATACAAATCAAAATAAGAGAAAAAATGATATAATAGATTCTTTCATTATTGATACTAGGTTGAAGCAAGAAGAAATAGAAGATTAAAACTTAATAAGTCAGGAAAAGAGTGCTCATTATTAATTTGAACCCTAGGATAATAATTTAACAAAATAAGATGATGACACTAATTTTAAAGATGAAATGGACAAGAAATTTGAAGAAATGGAAAACATAATGACTTCAATTTACAAGGCTGAATAAGATCATCAACATAATAGTAATTTAAAAGCTTAATAACAATCATTTTATGAGCAATTTTAAAATGCCAGATATTAGGAATTCATATAAAATATGATGAATCTTAAAAATGAAATTCGAAATTGTATGAACAGTTATAAAGAAATGAGTGATAACTTTCAAAATTGAACTATTTCCTAATTAGAAATTTGAAAATTGAAAATTGGTAGAATCGATAAAAATGATCTAATCATTTTGATAAAACTTTAATTAATAATGATTATCTATTTGAATTCTATTTCTTTAAATTATGAATTAAAAAATAACTATTGTTTATTACAATTATCACTTAAAAATTCTAATGCCTTGATTTTTATTGCTTCATGGGGTTTTGGGGTTTTGGGGAGATCGGAAGAGC